GGGGGGGGGGGGGGGGGGTGGGGGAGTACTCCTTTATATAACCCATATAGGTTTGTGCCGCCTCAAAGGATGGGGTTTTTGGGCCATTTCAGTCTGAAAACGGGCATAGACTTTTGATCTGGAATCGGGTGTGGGTTTCGAGGTAACTACGGGAGTTTATGAACGTTTCATCGTTTTAATTTCTGATGAATAAGAAAGAAAGAAGAAATATGTGAATTCGAAGTGGATTTTAAGAAATTGTTAATCAATCTAACCTAAGTAATGATGACATAATTTCTTAGAGGCCAGGTCTGGAAACGGGTGTGTGAAAAATGATAGTTTTTGGTCTAAACTGAGTCAGGATTTGAAGAACCGGGCGGCACACTCCCCACCGAGAAATCCCAGGAGTAACCCCGAACCCAAACCAGTCCAGTGGGAGTTGAACCGGTTTTTTTGTCGCAATAAATTTGCGCAGCTGCTGGCCACATGAGCGAGAACGCTCTGTAGGACGTTGGTAAGCAAAAGACCCGGGGAGTACTGCCATATATGGGCTATATAGGTATGGGCCGCTGTGAAGGGTATGGTTTTCAAGCAGTTTACTCTGGGATAGTGTATATCAATCAGAGAGTTTGGGTATAGAATAGGGTATCATTTTCCAGGAAACTGATCAATTGGTTGAAGATTTTAGTCTAGACGAGGGAAACCGGGAATTGCCACTCAAAAATATAAAAAAAATCAAATCGGCGCGCAACTCAGCCTAAAAGCTACTTTGGGGATTTGGGGAGTTTAGTCTAGTATAAGGTGGCAAAATTCAGCTGAACTAGCTCTGGTAAAGGCTTTTAGGCTCCCAGAGGCACATTCCAACTTAAACATTCCCAAAGTGCACCTCTCCCCGGGGCAAAATAGCAATCACGGACACAGGATTGAAAACATAAATCGATAAAAGTGATTCAATATATTGCATTTTTCAAGTCTCAACTTCATTTCCCTCAAGCATAAAGACATTGTCATCGTTATAAGAACTGGGATAATTCTTGTTTTGGGAGCATTTGCCTTCTAAGCATCAAAAGTTACAAATGAAGATTTTATGCAACTTCATCATAGCGAAGACACCTACCTTTCAAAAACTTAGAAGTTATCTTTATCTTAAAACAATTACGGTTTTTCAAATTTACGTTTACAGATGTTGTCGGACGCCTATCAAAGCATTCAAAGTTTCAGTTTGGTTTCCTTGTTTTCTTATCGCATTTGAAGAGAGTTTGGAAATTAAAAGACATAGCGGCAGGGCTGCAAAAGTTTGCTGTTAAAATAACCGTTGGTGCTTACCATTTACAGAAACCACCCGGTTGAAAATCTTGTGCATAAACATAAAAATATAAAATTTTACGTGGTGGGAGAACGACCTGCTACAAAGTATATCCAAATCATCTGAACAGACTAGAAAGAAGGGGAAAATTGCTTCACCTTGAATCACAGCCCATATTTTCTGACGCTTTTCAAACGGAATGGCGCGAGATTCGACCAATCAGAATGAGCTATTTGTAGTGTGATTTGCCTGGCGCGAAACATAAAAATTTCAGGAAGTGTTCGGAATTTCCGGTTATCCCATGTAACTGGTAAGTACCCCCTGGCAAACATTTTAGTCGAACAAACCAGGAAAACTTATGTGGCATACGTAATAAATGTTGCCCATAAATGTCTTTAAGTGCTATACAACGCTTGAAAACGCTAGTCTTCGGTATTTGATCTGTCCGGTCATGGCGCCCCACCGAAGTTAGGATTTTCACTGGGGGGGACGCATTTTCAGGGACCAAATTTTTCATCTGCAGCTCTGCGCTGAGTGCCCTAATGTTTAAGTCAGTTGAACATATGATCATAAAATGGGGAAAGTCGACTTTTGTAGTGGGTTACGGGCGCCTCTAAAGGCGTTTATAATCTGTTCTCTTCAGTGCTTGGTGCCTTGCTTATTAGTTTTGTTCCCGATCGCTGCTGTTGTTCAAACCCTCTTGCTTTGTCACAGGCGACGAGGCAGTAGTGCTGTGACGTTCGAGCTGTGATTTCCCACTCTCTGACGATGATAATGAACTTGGATTGATTGTATTCTTGTTTAAGGAAGTAGTCACAGCGGTGCTGGGAGACGAGTTTTTGGTACTGGGCGTGGTCGTGACGGGACAATATTGCTTGCATTTCGATGGATTGTTAATAACTTCCCACAAAGAGTTTCTGAAACAAAATAAATGCTTTCAGCCCTTTAACCAGTACAGACAACTCTTTTAATAAACAGACAACTCCACAAGCGGACACTTTCCTGGAACGGACATCAAGGAGCAGCTGGCCCCCGCCATTTTACGGTCATTTTGCATTACTCTCACTCTATAAGGCAGACACCTGACCACAATGTAAACTTTGTACCGATCCCAACGGCTTCCGTCTTACACAGGCTTGTACTTATTTAGGAAATAAACGTTGTTAAGCTGGGGAAACTTCTACCATGCCGATTCTCCTAGTAATCATTACTAGTTTTAATGTTCTCTTTTCTGTTTTGGTTTTTCTTCTTCTTCTTTCTTTTCGCTTTTTTTTTTAATACCGCATTTTATCGCTCTTCCCCTCACTGCCGCCGCTACGAACATTTCGGGAGACGTCCCCTTTCTTTCCCTAGTCCCTGTACGGCGTCCTTCCAGGCTTTCTCGGTAAAAGTATTTCGGTGAAGTAGCTGAAACGAACGGTGGGGAGGTCGCGTGGAATAATGAGGCCAAGGAAGCTCAGGGGCACCCAACGAGAATATAGTTCAAAACCACTTAAACATAGCGTTGTTAGAAGTATTTTAGTATTTAAACAGTAGATATAGGCATATTTTTATCCCCTAAAAATTTTCCATCTGTTCGGATTTCCCAGCTGAAAGTCTAGTGATCCGAAACTTATGGTGATCAAAAGTTACCTTTTCGAAAATTTCAGCCAGAAAAAAGGCTCCCGAAAATTCTTATACCATTTTTTAGATGTTCCAAAATTCTAGGAGAGACAGGCAAACAAGAAATTTTACAACAAATGTTCCGAAAATTCTAGATCTCAAATCGTCTTCCGAACAGATGTTTTCCGAAAATTGACGATGGGTGCCCCTGGAACCTAGGCACGTAACTCTCACGAAATTTCCCTAACGGACGTCACGGTAGAGGGCGATGAGAAGAATGGCTGTATTCGCAGGCCAATTAATCTTGAAAGTTAACATCAGTCATAGAAGTCCAAGCTATTGTGTATGCCTGTGTTTTTTTTTGTTTTGTTTTCAGCTTTCTCGCCAGTTTCCGATATATAGTTCTTTCAGGAACTCTGTAAATCACATTTGGTCAATGGTGGCAAAATTAAAAGCAAACTACAAACAACTAACCAACAAAATGGCCAAGCTTGGTGGAAAGTTGCGTTCGATCATGGCAAAGGTCAGGCATCTGCCTAGCTACTAAAATGATCACCTTCAGATTCAAGGATTAGAACAACGACGAGGACGAGATTTGGTTTTTGTTTGCCATATTCCCAAGAAATAGGCACCCCGGAAAGCCACATTATACTTTCTTTGTACCAGAAAAGTTAGCACGGTTATTTTCATTGTAGGAGGTTAAGTCCAATCCCGATCGCAAAATGATAAAACTTATAACATTTGATAACTTTTTTCAGTCACTAAGACATTTTCGCTAAAAAACTCGTAGTAGGATAACAACGGCTTTATTCCACGGAAAATAAACCAACCCAGTGACGTTTCCTCCGAGAACCCAGTGAAGATACAGATTCCACTAGTTCTGTTACAGAGGGGTGTGGTATCACGTTTTCCCGCCAAAATGACGCTGGTTCACGTGCACGCACTACCTAGTGCTGCAAAAATCTTGTCTACGTAATCTCGTCCTCGTCTTAGAATCTTCAAAACTCATATGAGGATGCAATTTACCTGACGAATGGCCATCCAAGGTAGCTGTATGGCATAGAGAAGTGCTTAACTAGTAGTCCGCACCGATCGTAAATCAGTATATCGTCTTTTGCACCACCTAGCATTCCCATGATATCTTGCGAAACTGGCTCTTGGTAGACTGGGAAGGAGACTCTGGTAGTCAACTTGGAGATTGTGGCGGCGGCCCTTTTCATGTTCAAAATCATGAACGAAACGTCAGTGATATTCCTATATGGGGAAAAATGTGCGCATGGAATTAACTTCAATATTTCAAAATAAAGCTGAAAAAGTAGAAAGTATTGACGTACCTATGGAGTCATCTGGATCACAAGGAACCCTTTATATAATCGCCCAGATCTGTTCGATTGCCTAGATTTTTAGGGAAGAACGAGATGATTCAGACGTAGACTTGAGTTCTATTCAGGTTATTGCTATCGCCCTAATACATGTCCCATGGAAACAGCTCTGGTGCAATGCGCGATGATCCGGACGATTGGGATTATCGCAGTGGCCTAAAAAGAAATGCTTATATCCATGTAACGGCCCCCGAATCGAGATGATACAGAGAATTGTATAATTGATCCTGGTCGCGCACCTGTATTTCTGACACTTTCAACCTCGTTTAAGGGTCGAGATCTCTTCATTTAAGAACCATACACAAAAAGTTTATTTGAAATTTTACATACGGAAACTCTGTGCGATGGTCGTGACCATGTTTAAACGTTTTACTGGGATAAATTTCATAAAGCCGGAAGGCTCCTCGTAATCAAGAGATAGCACGTAAATCCAAACGTTTTTCCTTCCTTAAAAGCTTCTCCAGCAAAGCAGCGAACGCTGAAATTTGACTGCGACCGGCGGTTCGCAGGAGAAAAAAAAATGAAGAGGACATTGAGACGGTTGAGTCATGTTATGTCTGCAAAACACTACCTTTGAAGTCTTATCCTGTAAGCTAGCATACTACTCACAAGGAGGTGTCCTTAGGGCTCGTCACGCAATCTTCATGCGTGACGAGCCCAAACGACCTTGTCTGCGTAGGACTCTATAAACCCGTCATTACATGGTGTGATAGGTGTGTAGATTCATGCGCCTTTAAGTGTTACCTTTTAAAGACTACGTTCTTGTACATGACGTTCATTTGGCTAGCCTGCCACTGACAAAATCGTCAGCTGGCCAACAGTAGTCCAAGGATAACCACGTGACCCTTAGAGCGTGCTTCAGCCAATGGATTCAGTTGACCAATCTTCCATGAGGAAGGCCGCTGGCATGTTCTTGAGCCTTCACTTTGAACCAACAAGGCAAGCAAGATAGCAGGCAGCAGAATGCTTACAGGGCGCATTCTGAGCAAGAAAAACTGCAATGAAAACTTTGTGTATTAATATTTTTAAAAATTGTAAAAGCACTGAAATACCCCTTCCTGTCTTCTCAAAATAGGTCCCAAATGTATGTTAGGCGCCAAAGGGATTTGTTTTTAGCTTGTCGGCTCACCTCTGTTGTGAAATTGGATATAGAACTATGTGAAGGAATTTAACTGTTGTGGTGTAAATTTAAAAGAACCGGTGTTAAATTGGGGTTATTACACTGAGATACCTTGAATAATGCGGCTAGAGCTGCTGAAGCTCTTCTAATTTCTTAAATTTTGGCGGAAACCTAGTCATTTCGTTCCTGGGTAACTGAGATCGTGTGTCGGAGTGTACGTGCTGCAAATGGACGGCTCTGAAATGTCAAGAGTATCGAATTTTGTAATAGCACAAGTTGCAAATCCAGCTAATTTTCTCGAATTCTTCCTCACTTGGCAGGTTTCTACCACGTTTTAAAAGCAATAAATTGTGTTGTTACCTTTGACATCTTCACGTATTTAAGTGCATGTCAGTATGGCTTCTGGAATGACAATACCAATAGAATTGTCAATTGTCGCTGTGGACTTGCTGCTATGTAATATTTTTGTATCGAATTTTGGGTCAAGGGCTATTAAACTCGCATACTTCGGGGTTGGAATAGAGTAAAGGATTTTAGGAAGAATTTGTCCATCCCCTGGACTAAGAGTACCCTTGACTCTTCTTTATCATGCTGTTCGCTAGTTCGCGAATGGTTGGATAAGCTATTGAGAAAAAGAGTTTGACACCTCAGTAGCGTAATGTAGGATACTACTCACAAAACGGAATGAAAAGAAAAACTCAACTACAATACCGTTGTAGGGGAGGGGGGTCCCCTTCCTTAAGTAAACGCTGTTTTCACATTTCACACAAAGCCACATGTTACAATACAGACACTAATAAAGACCAAAAAAAAAAAGAAGAAAGAAATGAAAGAAAGAAAAAACAGTATCCGCATTACGCGGGTTTTGACTGTAAATCTTGAGGTACTCATTTTTAAACATGTCTTTTAACTCTTTTGTATGCCTTCTACAGAAGCTGGTTTTTTGCTTTCACAGCCACAGATTAAATGATTCACATATTTCAATAAACATTTCAGAAAATATGTTATAAGTCTCAACTGCAATACTCCAAGTTACTTTGAAACACTCTTTTTAATACTATGATAGTTTTCCTTTTCTTGTCTATATCTCGTATAATTGTGAAGTCCTTACTCTTATTGAAAACGGTAATGCATTCCGGGGGAGTATAACTGTATACCCAGTCCAGTCATCCCCTTTGTCTCTTATAAAGACCTTAAAATCAAACATTAAAGAGCGAAGCCCGTCGCGTGTAAGACGTGCGCTGAGGGAGGTAGAATGATTCTCCCTCTCTACTTCCCATCGTCCGTTTCGCCGAGGTGCCGTAATGCCCGTTCCGTGAACGCCTACAAATGATAAGAGACGACTGGGAACCAGTAAGGCTACAAGGAGTTCCCCCTCCGGGATGCTAAGGCCCCTGGGGAGGAATGCACTTTGACAATAATTTTAATTTGAAAACGATACCCAGTTTAAGAAACACGCCAATGTTTTGTATTAAAAGTGCTACTAAAGAAGATAACAACCAAGAGATCATTACGATCTCTGGGAACAATTCATTGTTCATTGTGGTTCTAAACTCTTAAGATTCTAATCTAACAGATGTTTGACCTCGAAGGCATGATCGGACTTTCATTCGTAACCAAAGCACAGATACATATTAAGATTATTTGTCTTTGCTCTGAGACTCTTTGAAACAACTTACCCAACAAGACAAAAGGTGTCCTCAACGGCAATAGCAAAGTACGGTACAAAGCTGAACGAAACTGCTCAAACGCTTTCAACGTACAACAAAGCAAGCGCGACGAGCATATACTATATATGGTCACAGCAAGAAGGACTGGCAAGTGAACATGATACCCATGTCGCTGGCAACCTGTGTTGATTGATGAACCAGAGGGATTAGTCACGTTTGGGGCTTAGCGTGACGCCTCAATAACCTGGACAAAATTCGGCGCATACCGTAGCCTGCGAGCAAGCTCTCCATTTAGGGAATATCGTGAAAAGTGGACGCGCAAGAGGTACGCGAGAGGAGACGCGAAAGCGAGCGGGAAGGGGGGGGGAGGGGGGAGGAGGGTCGCGTTTATAAACTACCGCTTATAAACACCCCTTCCCCGCTCCTCACCAAGTTATTGGCCTATCCGTATCTACCTGTAATGTAAGCTAAAACATCCGTTTATACCCGACCCCCGCCTCTCTTACATAAAAGCCTCCCTCTAACTCCGCCCCCCTCGTAATTCAATTTATTGTGATGTTTTAAAGCTTAACCCAGTAATCAGGATTATACTACGAGCAGCCACTCTTTTTTCTCATTCCATCGAGCAAAACGCGCGAGACACGAAAATGAGAACGCTCGTGATGGATTGTTATCCGGGGAATTTTTTGCAACGTTTTTGAGCGACGCACGTAAACCGGAAGTGAGCTTTTTTCTTTCTTTTATAATTCCTTGACACATCCAAGTTTGTATGGCTGAGTGTCTTTACTCTTATAGCCTGACGATTTGCCCAAACGTGTTTTCAAAATCACGGCTCAAGTGTGCAGCTGCATAACTTCCACTTCCGGTTGGCGTGGGTCGCTCAAAAGTGTCCCTGCTTAAACTCATAATCTCTCTGCCTAGCGGCTTTGTCCCTCGACGCTCACACGCACGTGCACTCCCTTATTAAACAGTGGGGGATCCAGGGAAGGGGCCCGGTCATCCCTTATTTTTAGACCAAACTGAGGCCCAAAGCGCCGAAAAAAATTTTTTTGTGACTGCCACTCTCCCTATCTCAATGTCTGGATGACCGGGTCCCCGCCTTATCTGAAGGTCTGGATCTGCCATGCCTGCTAAATCTGAAGAAATAGATAAACTACCCTCAGCCTATATTTTGATTAGCACGGCTATAGCTTGTTTGGAAGCACTTTTTCTTTACTGCCATTGTAAGCCACTCCGTTCCAGTGAGCCCTACTAAAACCCAAAATATAAGCTTAATTAGCTACATAATCCCCAAACGAGCCCAAAAATAATTTCCGGAACTTCCCCGAAAAATCTCTGAAATTCTTTTTAAAAATGTCTAAAATTCTTCAAAACATTACCAGGTCACTTGATTTGTTGTATCCTAAATAAGTTGTAAAAATTGTCTATATAATTTAACTGTGTTAGAGTCGTCAGGCGACATACACTAAGAATCAATTGAAGATTTGTATGTTGGGAACGTAATTTTAAATCTTGACCATACTCTAGAACTATATGTCATGATTAAGGCAAACAATCACTGATGCGTATTACCTAGAGAAATTATTTGATAAATTAAGATGTACAACTTCAGACATTTCATATTTTTTTCTCCTTATTACTAGTACTTGATAACATCTTATAAATGGTAAATTTTGGATCATTTTGTTTAACACTAACATAATTTTCACGGTTCCTTGTAAGGTTATACCTTTAATATAAATAAATCATTCAAGTCAATTAATTAATCAGTTAATTAATTTACCTAACATTTCTGGACACCTAAAATGTAACGCAACATGAAGCATCACGCAATCGAGACTGTCTGTCATGCAATAAGACATTCATTTTTAAAAATGAATGTACATTCTTCATCTGGCTTATTACTGTCACTACAACATAGAACATGAACAACGTTTAGGTTCAGAAACGACCTAACAAGGTTTATAAACAAATAGTCAGATAGTGTGATTCAAAGCGAGTTTGTGTTGTCCCAGCGCCGTGTGACTTTCGAAAAACCTCCCACAGCGTACACAAGCCCAGTGGAAAAGCTCTTCACTGTGTTGATTCAAACTGACTTTGGACTTGAAGCTCTTGAAGCAAACGCCGCAGGTATAAAGGATATCAATAAAGCGAGACGGATTTTTCAGACGGCCTGTGCGAAAGCAGTAAACACTGTGTAAAAACGCTTGGCGACGTTTGTACCATATGGTATAACTAAACTGAAAACCGTATTCATATCCTGAATAATCAGAAGACCCGGAATTTATTCGCTCCCTGGTGTACTTCTCCACCGCTACCCCTTGTTGAGAATCATCATCATAACCTGCTCTCTCGTCTGTCTCGTCACGCAAGCTGTGCCTTGCATACGGGTGAAAGCGATGATGCCGTTTCTTACAACGATGGCGGTGTCTCATTTTCCGTTGCAGACTTCTCTCGCTGTACCTGCGGCTGCATTTCTTGTAAAAATATGACTGTCGCTCATCGTCTTGGAGAAATATATCCACGTCTCTCGAAGGAGTGCGCCGTGTTGTGATTTGCAAGTTGTCGCCGCGCCATGAAAACGAACGAGTGTCTTCCTTCAGAGAAGCGGAGCCGTACAAGAGCGAGGGGTAATCAAACACATTCTCCACGTATTCAACCCTTTTTGTCTTGATATAATTGCATTTCCCAACCTTTTCTAGCTCTCTCAAGACCCAGAGCCTTCGGTTATTCAAGGTGTACCATTCCCACTTCTCGGGGTAAAATACCACTTCGATGAGCGGAATATCTTCCATCAGAATTTCTCCATTTTTGAGCTGAGTAAATGTCTCAAGCAGAGGAATTCCGTTGTCAAATTTGGATGCAAGCACGTTCTTAGTGAAACGTATTTCTGAAGGTTTCAAAAGAACGAGGTAAGTAAAATTCATCGCGATATTGTTGAAGTGATGGCCTTATCATCAGCGAATGACAAAGATGTTGTGCAGGAGTTGATAAACAAGATTAGTCGTTCCCACGTGCGCACGTGGAAAATGGCGCGAAATATTCCCAGGGGAGTCTGATCGATCCAGGAAAGAAAAACAAACATGAATCCACTTACAGGGGGAGGGGTAGAGTCTATTTAAAAGAACCTTATTTTTCTTTTACAGGTATTTCTTTTTCCGAAACACGCTCTAATACTTTCAAAAGTTTTGAGTTTTGTCAAGACCACTTTTATCAGCATTCCTTATTCATTGTCGATCTCTAACGCCCAATAAACAGGTTACAGAATTGGTTACAGGTGAAAATTAAAAACACACGTTTATTGAAAGGTATAAAGAAAGTATTAGTGGAAGAAAATTATACTAAAAATTTCAAAAATAATACTAAGAGAAGCCATGCTTACTGAAAATAAAGGAAAGAAAAATGTGAAACCAGTGCAGCGGGTAGATATGGTTCCGTGTGGTGAGGGGTAAGGATGGTTTTTGAGCTAGAATTAGTCACCAGTCTCTTGTCGACCATTTTCTAGGAATCGTTCATGAGGTGAAGTAAATGCAGAAGAGAATGTGAAACTTACCGACAAAATGTATATTTTCCCGCTTCTTTTAACTACTGTTACCCTTCTTGGCGGCTCTGCGTTGGTAAAAGCGGACATTGATGCTGGAAAAACGCCTCCAATGGAAGAATGGGTGAATCCTGGAGACATGATTAACTATGACACTGATAGCAAGGTTAGTTTCGTTTTCAAAATTTAAATTTAATGCACAATATTATTTTGATACAAGCTAAAGCTATGGTTGCAAAGCATAGATAACATTTAGGCCTTCCACATTCTGCAACGAAAAATTGTATGTGTTCAGAGATTCCAGCCCTATGCGATGGAAAATAGGGAGTAATTATTAGCGCCTTCGGCGCGAGCTTCTAGCGGGGTCCGGGGGCATGCCCACCCCCGGGAAATTTTGCAAATTTAGGTTCTCTCAAGTGCCATTTCCTGAATTTTGACATCATTCCGGCCTGAGTTATAACATACCATAATGCCCTTCGCGAAGAAAGTAAGTATAATATGAGTGTTTCACAGTGACAGACCGCCAAAAATTCTAAAGATTACCAATTTTTCCCTAGTTTTCAGAATTTTATAATAAATCGGGAGAATTTGGTAAAAATCAGGAGAGCGGGAGGCAAGGCATCAAATCGGGAGGGTTGGAATCTCTGTGTGTACATTAAGTGAGTGACTAAAAAGAAACAATTATCAGTTAAAAATTGATGCCGATTTTTGGGGGGGAAGGGGGTGGGGGGGAAGTTGCGCGGGAATCCCCCTGATTCACCCCTATGCTTATGTTTAATGTCGAATTTACGGGTTAGCGACCTGCTACAAAACCAAGTTCAAAGGGTGGTAATGAAAAAGAAACCTTATTAGTAACACAGAGTCCTTTCGATCCGTTCTCATGAAGTGTAGTAATACCAAGGGAAAGACTGCCCAACCCTGTTTGAAAACAATGAGAAGCTGGTATGAAGTGGCAATACATTATAAACTAAACTGAGAAATTAGTGTGCAGTCTTAGAATGTGCGGTTAAAAAAGTTGTTTCAGAAGCAAAGGAAAAAGACTGCCTTAGAACCTCTTTTATATCATATATTTCGACAGTAGATTATCTAGATCATCAACAATCTAGTCTGCTTTTTTGAAGTCCATATAACCTTCTCCCAGTGCTTACATCATATTTTAGATGACTCTAAAATGTGGGTAATGACATAAAACGAAAGATTGAAAAGAATCTGAATAATATCCTGACCACAAACAAAAGTTAACAAAATAATGAGTTCTGCATGCAACACCAAGAAGCACCCAAAATGTGGATTTCTGGGTATAATGCTCAAAATTGACAAGGCTCTCATCCATTCTGTGCAGTTCAAAGATGGCTATAGTTTCAAATATAAAATTCCTGACACCACAAAAGTTTCAAAATCCTCATCAAGGTAACACTATTCAATGTCAATCTGTTTTGTTTTCGACACTGTTTGAACATCCCAGTCTTACAGCCAATAATTTGTCCGAAGTTTTCTAACATTCCCCATCTGAAGCTTTTACAGGGCTCAAAATTAACGCTCGCAAACTCACAGAATGCGAGTGATTTTGATAATCTGCGAGTGAGAAAAATATCCACTTGCAAACGCTTGCGAGTTAGAATCACCCATGACTCCCAAACGAAGGCACAGAATTTGCTAGTGGTATCACCAGTTTGCTAGTGGCAAAAAATCTTCCTAGCAAAACTTTGCAAGTGCACTTAAAAGTTAACTGCGAGCCCTGTACTAATATCGATAGGTACGTAAGCCCCTAGTTTATTGTAGTATTATTATACCAGCTAATTTTCTGAGAACACTCCCAACCCTTATCCAACCCGGGAAGAATGGACAATCCTGTGTTATTTTTTAACAGTTGATTGCAGGCAACACTGCAAATGCAATGAAGATGAAATCCATTAGGAAATTGAGTAATAATAATTACTTTAATTTTTAAATTCTTGAAGAAATTCATCAGGCTAGTGAAGTTAATAAGTCGATTTAAATGTTCTTGAAACATAGCCAGTCTTAACGTCTTAATGATACTGATAGTTTCGATGACTGTCAGCCATCTTTATCAAAACTTGAAAAATATTAAAAGTGTCAGAAGCCTTAAATAGGCTTCTGAAGGTGTTAATTATTGCGATAAACGTGCAAGACCCCTTTACAAGACCCCCTTTACCAAGAGGAGACATTAACCATCACAAGAGAATGCCTAGATAAAGATGAAGATCTAAAGAAAAGAACAAACCGAGAGGTTGATGATATAATGGATCTCACAGAATTTATTGCCACCACCACATACCGGTACTTCAGTTTCAGAGGACAATTATTCAAACAAAAGTTCGACACAGCCATGGGCAGCCCAGTATCCCCGATCCTGGCTAACTTCTTTACGGAATGGCTAGAACAACAGGCCATCACCACTGCTTCCATAGACTGTAAACCTAAGCTATGGAAACAATATGTGGTTGACATCCTAGAAATCATTAAGAGGTGAGGAAAGGTGGAGGCTCTGACAGATCATCTCAACAGAATAGACAAAACAAACAGCATCAAATTCACGCACGAACCAGAGAAAAATGGCCAGATCCCGTTTCTGGACACCCTTATCAACAGGAGTGAGAACGGATCCATCAAACTACTGGTTTACAGGAAAGCCAAACACAGACCAGTACCTGACGTTTTAATTGTATCATCCACTTCAGCACAAACTTGCTGTCATACGGACGTTATTGGAAAGGAGTGACAGCATTGTCACAGAAAAAGAAGACCATAAACAAGAAGAAGAACACATAAGAACAGCCCTCCATACATGTGGTTACCCGGATTGAGCGATAAAGAAGGTCCAAGAGCAAATGAACAGAAAGAAAGCTATTACAAAAGATAAATCCAAGAAAGATAAAGCACAAGAAAAATCAAGAGGAGTGGTGACTGTCCCATATGTCCACTCATTCACGGAGAAAATACAACGTATATTCACCAAACACAAGGTAGCCACAGTGGTTAAACCTCTAACTACCCTCAGACAGGTTTTAGTTCACCCGAAGGACAAAGTTGAGAAGCAAAAAAAGACTGGAGTGGTGTACAAAATTCCATGCAGCCAATGCGAAAAGGTATATTATATCGGTGAAACTGGGAGACAGCTGGGAACCAGGATCACAGAACACAGAAAGGAAGCAGAAAAGGTCTCTGACAGAAATTTCACAAGATCCACCGGCAGAGCTTCTACCAGTGAACACCATAAATCAGCCATAACAGACCACGTCTGTCAGAACAATCATATTATGAATTGGGAAGCAAGTGAAGTAGTTGAGCAGGAAAGCGACAAGTTTAAGCGATGGATCAAGGAAAGCATATGTATTAGATCGAACACTCCTACTATGAACAGGGATGAGGGAGCCTATCAGCCTTCTCCCATATGGACACAAGTGATCTCCACCCCCAAACCAGGAGGGGAGGGGACGTCTACAGAGTGACTTTGCGCATTTATGGCAATATTAACGCCTTCAGTGGCCTATTTAAGGCTTCTGACACTTCTAATGTTGTTCAAGTTTTGATAAAGATGGCTGACAGTCATCGAAACTGTCAGCATCATTAAGACGTTAAGACTGGCTATGTTTCAAGAACATTTAAATCGACTTACTTTAATTTTTAGTGGATGAAAACCTTGTACCAGAATAATTTAAAGCATATTGCATTCTTTTTCACACTTTTCAAAGGCTAAGTTGTATGAAACAACTCCAAAGAAATGGTTCTTATTGGAGCCTGAGAAAACATACTTTAAAGGCCTCAAATTTCATAAAATGAAGTCTTATACATGACAATTTTACCTGTGTTTTGTCAATTTCTGTGAATTTTGAAATTTTTTTCCTAGGTCCCAGTAGGAAATCGTCTTTGGTGTTATTTGAAAATAAAAATTACTCAGTTCCTAATGGATTCCCTCTTAAGACTTTTAGGGATGTCACTAACAGCCAGCTGCCAGGTAATAGTCTGGCTGAAAAATGGCTTACCACTGGCTCAGATTACTCTGAAAGAAAAAGCAAGTGGTAATTGTGTAGAGGTAGTTGACTTAAAAAGCCGGCTTGACTGTCTAATAGAAAAAGCTTGCCTAGGTTTTCTTTAGCTACATCCCTGTTGTTTTTTTCAAAGAACTACAAGGAAGCAACTGGTATAAAGATCACAAGGTGTCCCTGCCAAGGACCAAAGACAGCCCCACCCAATGAGAAAAAACCAGTGGCTCATATTAATAATAAAATTTGGTTTCAAGGTTAACTTTTCCTAAATTACATTTTAGCCACATTAACTCACTCTTAGGTAGTGGCATTTTGCAGACTATTTGTATGTTGCTGAAAATAATAGCCTATGAAAGTTTCAACTAAATCAGTATGTCTCTGCATTGTCCATAATAGGTTATATGTGGCTAAATTCAATTTAGGTTAGGTTAAACTCAAGACAATGTTTGCTAGTGGTCTGCTCCTTTTTCTCAGGGTAGCAGTAAATTTACAGCTCTCCTGCTATAGTCACAGATTTTGCTAACACCTGCATTCAGTTGCTGGAAGTCTCATTTTGCTCCTTGCACTCTATTACCCCTGAATGTGTTTTGGTACATATGGGTAGTTAAATTCAGGGTTTGCAAATTTTATTGATGAGTGGAGTCAGTGTGACTTCTGCTTCACAAAGTTTGGAGTCATTTTGGAATATTTGGAGTCAAGTATCAGACACTATCGTGAGGGATACATGAAGTAGTTGTGGCGGTCTGCTGACCTGGAAAGCTCAAATCCATGATGGCGGTTATTGAGTAAACTACAGTAATTTACCCTCTTCCTGTTTTGTCGAGCAGTATGATTCTTTAATTTCGATAATTTAATTAAGGTTTACAAAGTTTACAATTAACGTAAATTGTATTTGTTGCAAAAAAGGTAAGGACAAAACTGTTTGTTATTTCTGGAGTCGAAGTGGCTCCCTGTTTGTTACTGGAAATTTTTGGAGTCGAAGTGACTCCCTCCGTAACCTCAGTGGAGTCATGTGAACAATTTTGGTGTAAAATACGCCAAATTTGGCATATTTTTGCCAACCCTGTAAATTTTTCTCACTGAGGATTTTAGTGTGAAGGTGTCTAAGAGTTATCCCTTACAGGGTTGTCATGGTCATATTCCATGTTCACTTGCTCCAAGACTTTTCAGACACCCTCCCCACACTCATCCATAAGATTGGATTAATATTCATTCAAAATATTTCCCCGATTCTCATTGGCTAAAAGCACACGCATAATTCACTATAACCAGTCACTGATGACCAAATCTGGAAGAATTTTGTGTTTAACGAGGAAGTGACATCAAAAATGCAGTGTTCTTGCAGGTTAAGGCACCGTTTACTGAGAAGACCTAGGGATGAGGTTGAGTTGTTTTGGTTGTGAAAACAAAAAAAAAATGGCGGACATTTCACTTGTTTCAAGAGTAAGAACTAGGTGAAATTATGGCTAAAAACATGGCAAGAACAACAAGAACACAACTTGAAGGGTGACATCTGCTATTTGGAGAACATTTGCAGAGCTGACAAACCCTAAACGTGCACTATCGAAGGTGAACTTAACATCGATGGAGGTAAGCATGTTTTAGCTCTGTTTTTAAACTAGGAATTATTTTGAATGAATAATAAAACAATTATTGAATTCGGCTTTCGTATCATATGAAGAATTATGGAGATCTTGGAGGATAACACCCTCTTCGATCTCCATAATTCTTCATAAGATACTCAGCCTCATTCATTAATTATTGTTAATTAATGTTGCTTTTTTGTATATGTTGTGGTTCAATTTTATCCTTGGTTTAAATTTTATTTCCTTTTTGGGGGAAATGGTAATATATGAATGATATATAAATAATAATATATAAACCATGGATAAAATTGAATGACAACATTTACATCACCAACAGGTGAAAACTGATTGTGGTTCACTGCAAGCAGAGCTTTTACAGTGCGAACAAGATTTGAAAAAAATGCCATCAAGTTGCCCATCATGTGCTGAGAAAACTGCTGCTAATGCATCACCTTCACAGCCTTGTGATACTCCATACTTCAAAAAGCTTGCAAGAACCATCCTTGGACACATTGAAGATTATGGGAGTTATGAAGTAACGGTGACTGCTTCAAAAGATGATTCTTCAACTCTTGAGAAATTTGTCTCATCAGATAAAGGAAATGTGCAGGATGTCTCTGAGGTTATCATTGGTATTTTAACAAATTTCAAAAGCCACGAAGATTGCTGCAGCAAATGTGACATATCAATTTTAAGTTACCTAACCGGAGAAGCAATCCTTCTTTCTGTGGCTGTTATTCTCGTAATATGTGCTGTTGTTATTTTTGAGATGCGTACAAACTTGTCTTGGCGATCACAACTATGGCTTGTTCTGTTGGTGAGTTTCATCGTCAGTATTCCTTGGGAATGGTACCGTTTGTACAGAAAAGCATTTGCCTCCAAGCAAGCTCAGATGGCAAGGGCAAACGAAATCCCAAAGGGTTGTCTACCTGATCATGAGTTGCATCCATGGGAATCGTTCAAGCTATGGTTTAGTAGTTCATTTACATTTTCAGACGACATCTGTACCCGATACCAAGAGACACTACTTGTTGATCCATTCTGGGAAGTATCCCCATCAAAAGTAAGTAGTTTTGTTTTTTATTCAGTGCAACAGCTTTGCTTTGCTGGCAGCTATTTTGAGAGAGGTTGTCGGATAAAGTGCATGCAACAATACCAAAAGGTATTGTGGGTAGTTTTGAGTTCACTATTCTTCAAAGAGATTTGAAAGAATGGCATGAGAGGCCATGGACGTGTGTTTGCAAATTCTAAAGGAAAGCAACAAAAGAAAGTTCGACAGCTACAGTGTCAGGAACAGTGTATTGATTATCTCCCACATTACCTTTCCAGATTGTTGCATGCACGTTTTTTCCGACTTAACCTTCCTTTAAATAGCTGTTTTACTGTCTTCCCAAACAAAAGATAAGCAATTCTTCAAAAAAGCAATAATGTTGAAAGTTACAGGAAAACAGGCAACAAAAAACTTGCAACCTGTTTTGCAACGTTGCTACATAATGATTTAAATAGCAATGTTGTGCATTTTACCACCCTACAAGTTGCCTGTTTTACCATACAGTATGGGATAAAAGATACCACAATGGCAATAGGTATAGGTAATAGCATGATTAGTAGTGATATTTGGCATAAATGCCACGAGTGATATTTCAAAATATCGTTATTTGTCATTTCACGAGCCATTACGGGAGTAAAATATGAGACAATTTTGAAATATCATGAGTGGTATTTATGCCAAATATCACGTACAAATCATGGTGTTATTTGTTTATACTACTACTGGCAAAAGGTTTGTAATTTTCACATGTAGGTATTTTGAATTAAGCTGAAATACCAGTGCTCTAAGACAATCAGATGGCAGTAATTTCTCATGTAGTAGTATAATGGGGAGAATTTTCGTTAAATATATCGAAACCTAAATGTTGTCTTTTCACTGGACTCATAATGACACTATAATCCACTGAAGACCCTTTTCTGTTACATTTGGTGTGTTTTTGTTGTGTTCTAAAACATGGCACCAAAATGAATTGTCAAAATAAAAGTAATCCACTGTTAAAAAATCAACAGATTATGTTACTTTGACTTGCTCACAGGTGAAAAATAATTGGGCCTTTTATAGTAATATTTTTTCATCGAATCCGATTATTTCTACTAAGCAATTGTGAAATCTTTACCACTTCCCAACACTTGCTCCAATTTTGTCTAATAATGTGTGCTATCTTCAGTAAGCCTTGCTAACCTTACAGAACAAACTCCTAGGCCAGTTGTTCAAAGGCCGATTAGTGCTTATGCAGGGTTAGATTTTAAACCCAGGTTTCTTTTTCTCTTTGTCAAAAGCATTTTCTCTGATAATTTTCCCTATTCTTTTTAGAGTATCTAATCACAAAATTGTAGACAAGAAGAATTCAACTGAGTTTGCTTTTTAGCTGTCATAATTATCTGAAAATTTTGCAGTAACCCTGGGTTATCTTAACCCAGCTTTCAACAACCTGGCCCAGTGGAGTAAAAATGCCTTAAAATTACACTTATTTGGTGATACCCAAGTGCATGTTACTAGAGGCGTAGCCATAATTTTTCTGGAGCTTCATGTCCCAGTAGTCATCCCAGTCATCTGAAGTCGTCCTAGTCATCTCAGTCATTCAAGTCACCCCAGTCATTCTGTCATTTCAGCCATCCAACACATCCTTGTCATCTCAGTCATTCCTAGTCATTTCAGTTATCACTTGTCATCACAATCATCTCTAGCCATCCCAGTCATCCATCCCTATTCATCCCAGTCATCCCAGTATCCGTAGTCATCCTAGTCATCCCCAGTCATCCCAGTCATCCCAGTCATCCCATAATCATCCCAGTCATCCCACTACCCTGGCATTCCAGTCATCC